TGGCTGGGAAAAATCAACGTAGTTAAAATGTCTATACTTCCCAAAGCAATGTACAGATTCAATGCTATCTCTATTAAAATACCAACATCATAATTTCAAGACCTGGAAAAAATAATTCTTCATTTTGTATGGAAGCAAAAAAAAGCCCATGTAGCCAAGGCAATTCTTAGTAATAAAAACAAAGCCGGGGGCATCAGCCTACCAGATTTTAGGCTGTACTACAAGGCCATAGTGATGAAAACAGAATGGTATTGGCACAAAAATAGAGACACAGACATTTGGAACCGAATAGAAAACCATGAGATGAAACAAACATCTTACAGCCAACTAATCTTTGATAAACCAAATAAGAACATACACTGGGGGGGGAAATCCCTATTCAATAATTGGTGCTGTAAGAACTGGATATCCACATGTAAAAGATTGAAACTGGACCGCACCTTTCTCCACTCACAAAAATTGATTCAAGATGGATAAAAGATCTTAATCTAAGGCACAAAACAATTAAAATCCTCAAAGAAAGTATGGGGAAAACACTGGAAGCTATCAGCCTGGGGAAGGACTTTATGAGGAAGACTCCCACAGCAATCACAAAAACAAAATAAACAAAAAGGACTGAAAAGCTTCTGTACAGCTAAGGAGACAACAACCAAAGCAAATAGACAACCTACACAATGGGAAAGGATATTTGCATATTTGATTCAGACAAGAGCTTGATAACTAGGATCTACAGAGAATTCAAATTAATAAACATAAAAAAAAGCCAACAATCTCTTAGATCACTGGGCAAGAGAGATGAATAGAACCTTCTCTAAAGAAGACAGATGAATGGCTAACAAACATATGAAAAAATGCTCAGAGTCCCTAATTATTAGAGAAATGCAAATCAAAACCACCCTGAGATATCATCTAACCCCAGTGAGAATGGCCCACATCACAAAGTCTCAAAACTGCAGATGCTGGCATGGATGTGGAGAGAAGGGAACACTTTCACACTGCTGGTGGGACTGCAAACTAATACAAATTTTTTAGAAGGTAGTGTGGAGAACCCTCAAAGAACTCAATCTAGACCTCCCATTTGATCCTGCAATCCCATTACTGGGCATCTACCCAGAAGAAAAAAAATCCTTTTACCACAAGGACACTTGCACTAGACTGTTTATCACAGCTCAACTTACAATCACCAAAATGTAGAAATAGCCTAAATGTGCACCAACCCAGGAATGGATTAACAAGCTGTGGTATATGTATACCGTGGAATACTATTCAGCCACTAAAAAGGATGGGGACTTTACATCCTTTGTATTAACCTGGACAGAAGTGGAACACATTATTCTTAGTAAAGCAACACAAGAATGGAGAAATAAGAATCCTATGTACTCAATTCTTATATGAAGACATTTAAGGTCCTAGTACACAGTGGGGCGTGGGGGACAAGGAGAGCTGAGAAAGGAAAGGAGGGAGGGGGTAGGGGTTCAAGGGGTGTGACACATCTTTTGGGGGCAGGACACAGATATAAAAAGGTCCTTATCTAACAAAAGCAATCAGTGTAACCTGGTTCTGTGTACCCTCAATGAATCCTCAACAATAAAAAAAAAAGTAGAATAGTGGTTGCCAGAAGTTGGGGAGAATGTGGGATTATTATTTAATGGAGTTTCACCTTTGCAAGATGAAGAAAGTTCTGAGAACAGACCATGGGAATGTACTTAACACCTCTGCACTGTACACTTTAAAATGGTTAAAATGATAAATTGTATGTTATGGACATCCTACCACAATTTTTAAAAATAAACATTTTTTAGTGTTCCACCAAAGATGAAATACTGATGTAATCCAAATGCGTGATAAGAATGAAGCTGACATGACAATATTGAAAGATGTACAATTGCCAAGTAGAAAGAAAAAAGCAGGCTTCAGGTCACTATTACAATGTTTCCTTTTTAAACTATGTTATGCATAGAGGCAGACAGGAGTGGGTACCTTTGTGTGTGTACAGGAAATGTCTGGGAGTTGGCAAAATTAAGTGGTTAGCAATTTGTGTATCTGTGGGAAACAGAAATCAAGGCAACTTTCATTTCTGCTCATATGTATCAGTGTTATTTTAACTTTTTGCAAAACACATTATTTTTGTACATATTTTATTTACAGTAAACCAATAACAGAGAAGAGTTCTAAGACCAGGGTCCTTGGAGCGGTGGCCTCCTGTGCTGTGCTCTCCAAGGT